TGCAGATGTACGAATTCCAACATAAACATGCAAAATCAAACATTACAAATTATTATTCAAGAGGGATGCTGTTACTGCTCCAAGATCGGAAGCCAGGTTAACAAATTGGCTGGTAAATGTTTTTGCCCTGCTCTACCTCTGTAATCTGATTTCATGTGAAATTTGTTGCTTTTTCTCAGTCTCAGTGTTGCTGAATGTGATGCGAAAAAGAAATGAAATTGCTGAGTGTGCACATAGTTGCCCAGCAGAGACTGAAACGAGAAGGCTCAGAAAGATGTGTAATATATTTATAAGCATACTCTGCCAAGGGGACGGGTTCTGTCTGTATCATTCAAACCTAACTGATCACACTCAAGTAGTAATTCTACCAGATGAAAAGTGCCTTTACTCAATCACCCCAGTGTGACAGTGTCATACCATCATTCTACTCTGCCATGAATCTTCTTTCAAGATGAAACGTTCTACTCCCCGTGGACAAAGCCCAGCAAACAAATACCATTTTGAATGGTTTTCAGCACCTTAAACAGGAGCCTCTGCCCAGGGCATGTTGGGTGGTCAGTGCATATGACCTTCTCATAGTGGGGCCCCATAACCCCCATCCATCCCTATTAGAGGACACTTATCAGGCATGGCAGCAGGAGTGATACACTCTCAGCTGGACTTCCCTGGAGAAAATACTGTGGAGTGCAGGGAACAATCCCCTTGGTGCAGTAAGGTGCCTGTGTGTGTGTGTGTGTGTGTGTGTGTGTGTGTGTGTGTAGTTCCTCTTTGCAGATAGGACTCTGTGACTCCGAGATATGCACGGGCTCATTAATTAGAGGCTCTCATTATCCCCCCTCAGGCTTCAGACACTTAATCAACAGCCAGCTCCAACTCAGACACAAGCACACAGGAACGTACACACTCTGGCACACACAAACACTCTCTCATGCTCACCCATCTCGCATATTCCACAACAGGCGAGATCCTGACACAACATCATCTACCAATATAGTTCTGTAAGAAAGAGGTGAAAGAATGAATGCTGATGGGGGTTATTTGTTTTCGGTGATGTATAGCACAACAGAGTGGAGGCTTGTCACTGCCGTTTAACACTTTCATTGTTATAATGTTGTTGAGCATTTCCAAGGAGATCAATCCTGCTGCCATGTCAGTCTATGGGAGCAGTCTGTCAAATACTTTATATTACATTCATGTTTGAAATGTTGCCGTTAGAAATAAAGTTAATTTGTGTTCTAAGTTAACTTCTTTAGAAATAATGGATGCCAGTGACATCATTTGGCAGTGTATTATTATTCACACAAGCATGAATATGTAACAAAGGCTGATGCTCAGCTGTGTCAGGTGCTTGCTTATTATTACACGCATGTGACACAGAGGGTTTCATTTCATTGTGTTAGTGCTGTGGAATTTATTGCCTTGAAACTTCAGTACTTTTAATTAAAAGGCAGCTGTGTATACAAACACGAGGCAAAGCACAGAGGCACCCTAGTGTCGTGACTTAATAGCACAAGTTGTTCAGGAAATTAATCTCCCCCGGACAATGAGGAGACCTTTTGGAGGCTCTCCTTACTGTTAAAACATTTTTAAATCTTTTTTTTCATGAACTAATGTGGGTGATAGATTTGTTCTTTTTACATAATGTGCGCTAATACAGAGGAAAGCAGCATGCAGTCAAATGTGCAACTGTGCACTAAATCGTGTAAGCACACATTAGACATGATTGCTTTTTGAAGGTAGATTTCAGTCTCAGTCACTACAGCTGTCTAATATGTGACCATCTTAACTGGAAAGGATTTGATAGATGAATGCAAATACAGGCTCCTAAATGAACTTAAACGCTTGTTCATCTGAATAGAAAATATCCACCAGCTAAAAAATGCAACGGTCTTTGGACATTTTTCTACAACAGCTTACAAATTCAAGTAGCAGTGGCACCCAGATCCCTGAACATATGTTTCTGAAAATGACTTCCCGTCACATTACTGAGTGACAATTCAGTTTGAGGCCATATTATTATTACATTTGTGTAGGCTACAATATGTCGAGGCAGTTGAAAGTCACATTGGTTGTTATATGGTGCTAAACTTCTGAGACTTGAATGAGTCCGTCTTGATTTTTGTACTGATGCAGCCGTCAAACTTTAGAGAAAAGCTTACTTTATGGAACAGTCTCCCTCACCAGCTCATGACCAGAACCTACAGAGGAGACATTTTTGAGGGCGTGATTGGCAAGAACAAGTAAAGGAAGCGCAAACTTTTAAACAGCTCCAAGTTGTGGAAAATGAAAGAGGGGTTTTTTGTTTCCCTCTGAAGGCTGGAGTCTGATTTCCTGTGTGGCTGTGATTGGGAAAGCAGAGGCACGCACAGGGAGCCCACTGCTGTATGGAGATGCCAGATGACAGGCTTCACTATGAGGACACGGTTGCTGTACAGCACACCAGTGCCCTTTGATTTGTCCTCAAAATGACTTTTACGAAAACAACCTCTTGTGTAAACCGTTTTTTTTTTAGACGTGACTTTCATGTCTGTGTGTGAGTAAGTGGTGTAAAAGGGAACAACAATGTTTCCTATGTGGTGTGTACTACACAGGCAATTGGCGCCTTTGGATTTCAGGCTGCTGTAATAAAACGATAAACATAATCTGTGATTATGATACCATTGAAAATCTGGGTATTGTAGCACATAAAGGCACAGGGACCTCCTCTGTTCACTTTGACACTATATCAGCTGTTGGTGCAGAACTGTTGGTACTGTCAAACATTTTGTTCATGCTCATCCATGTGGATCACCAAGTGGAGTCCTGATGCACAGCAGGAGTTTGTCCATAAGGCCATATGTCAGCTTGTCCCCTCCTCCTACTTGTCTATTGTCATCTGTGCGACCCCAAGATGCACTGCGAACCACGCTGACCTCTAAGAGACTCCAATGTATTGACCATCTCCTGGCTCTATAGAGTCCATTACCCAAACCAATTTAAATCACATGCCTATTGTTAAGGCTTCACCATACCATTTCCTAAATTCACTTAGCTTTCATATTTGATAACTACTGGTGAATAAGGTACACCATTAGAAATGTTACTATGGCAAAGTAATTTAATCACATACCAATTATTGATAACCCTTTTCTTTTCATATTCTGTAGCATGAGTTCACTGGCAGTTCTATTTTCATTTCTAGCCGCTCTGCCTCAAAAGTATTTTCAGTCTGCGACTGTGGCAGCAATTGTGGTAACTGGTTTCATGCCAGATCTGCCATATCCTCTGCTCTCAGTGCTATTCAGCCCAGAATGAAATGTACGTTTTTTTTTGTTTATAGTGAGTTACAGATTATTTTTCTCGCCCTTTTGCCAAACAATGTTTAATAAAATGCCCCAGTTTTGTAATGCATGTGATGGCAATGTCTGATAAAATATTGCACAATATACTGCATGTGACAGCTGCTCTCAGCAGAGAGAAACAGGGAAAATGTACACGCAGTTAACGGGCTTTACAGGCATCTCTCCAGCATCCAAGGTCATCTCCTTTGTGAACTGTGTGTTTTCTTTTTCTTTTTGCATCAAGTCAGTAGCTACTTCCACATAAAATTACCAAGGACAGTAGCTGCTATTGATAAAGATAAAGGCAGCATGGTCTTTCTGCAGTGAAGTGTGGTGTGATTTGAATCTTTTAAGCTCATTAAAACCTAGAGGAAGATCAGCAGCATTTCTAATATATAATATAGTAACAGCGTAATGTGCTAAACATGTATTGTAGACTTTGAAGCTACAGTCCCATAATGTTTTCAGCTCACTGGTGTCTCATAGATAGACTTTAGAAGTCAGCCTAATATAGAGATGGCACTGTAAACTGTCCAATCCACATGGGCGTGTGCCTGAAATGTAGGCTATTTACTTAATCCCAGGGCCTAAGAAACTGCATCAGATCCATGTTTGACCTTAACTGGCTCGGTCCCCTCGCACATCCTCACAGCCCTGCTCAGTGTCCTGCATGGAGGCTACAGTTTAGACTACATGGCAGCATAAACACCGCGTAGCTCAATGTTTTCTGGACCTCGGAGGGTGACCCTGAGAACGGTTCCAAACTGCAGCCCGCCCCTGGCGCTGGAGCGCACTTTTGGGAAGTCCTGTGCCGGAGGCGCTGCGGCTGCGCTGCCTTCTGTCTTTTCAGCACCAAGTCAGTGGGCTACACTTTAAGACTGGACGGAGGAAGTCACCAGGGGGCTGTATTCCAGTGTGTTGCTGTTGCAGGAATCGAGGTTTCCTTCCAGCTCCTCACAGAAATTCCAGGGATTTTTTTCCTTTTCGTATGAGTGTGTGTGTGTGTGTGGTTGTAACCCCTCCTTCCCTCGAATGTAATCTCACTGCTTGTCGCGCCGTCTCCGCCGGGCTCTGACTCTTTCTCCACTGGTACTTCTAAAAGTGTATCTCGGCCGCTGGGAAACGCAATTTGATCGCGGTGATAAATGTTTCTCCATTTTGGCTCGCGTTTCCTCCTCCTATCATTTCTTCCGGATCAGGAAGGACAGATAAAACAGTGTTTGCTCGACTTCGTTGGACTAACGGTGTAACCTACTTGTGGAGACGACCTCGATTTGAAAAAGTTCAAGAATAAATTTTCTTGGTTGGCCGTCTGGTTTGGTCCTGGGGGCGCCGATCCTGCGTGCGAGTGAGGAGGGAGTGGGTTAGCAGAGCTCTACTTTGGATTTACGCACAGGAACCTTTCACCCAAACATTGTCAGCCGACACTGTGTGTCTGTGATATATTCTCTGCGTCCAACTGTGGATTTAACCGGTGTGTGATTTGTTTGAACTGTGCTGTCGCCCCCAAAATTGCCGCAAAGCTGAGACTCGCGCACCATCATGCATCGCTTCTTGGGGAAAATCTGCTGCAAAATCGAGAGAAGTGGAGAGGCAGCATGATATGCGCTCTGGATTTCTTTGAACCTACATTCCATTCTCCTATAATATCTTAATGCTGTTCAATTTTGGTTTACAAATATGATGAAATGGCAGCCCCGGAAGAAGGTGAGTCTGACTGCTTTTGGTGTTTGTTTTATTCTAACGATAATAACCATTCTCAGGTATCACAAGTTGGAAAGTGGAGACTTGCCCTCTTGGTTTACTACAAATGATTCCTAGATAGCACTAATTACAACAAAAACTATTTTTAGCTGCCCAAAGCAGGTTTAAAAAAGAAGTTTCTTTCTCGTTGTGAGTATTTCTGGGGAATATGATTCTACTTGGAATTGAATCAGCCGATCGTATCATGGAGTTTAAAATGTATGATACTGCGTTAATGGCTGTATTTACCCTTAATTCTCTGATCTGTGTGCTCACGTGCTCTGTATGCCAGCACCTCTTTTTAGAATTAGACATGCAGACCTAGATTCCTAATCTGGGCTAATCAAGACATCAGTGTTTAATCTGGGAGGGAGCGTCTGAAATTGTGGGCACACGGCCGCATAATGGAGCCTACTGTGTCCTTTACCGTGGGACTGTATTAGGTATACATAGAAATTAAACATTCTACAATACATGTATGTAAAAGTTTTTTAACTGAACTAGCATAATTTCCAAAATACATCTTCGCAAAGATTCTTTTTCATGATTGCACATATATTTCCCTTTAAGTCTGGATTGTTTTTGCTGTGTCCTACTCCTCAATTTGCAAAGACTCTTGAGCATTACAGCATGGAAAAAGCTTGAAAATCATCTGGGGTCTATAAAAAAATACTACCAAAAATGCCCATGCTCTGGATTTTTACCAGCAGAGGGCACCTGTTTGACAAAAAGCTGCTTTTCAGATTGGTCTGAAGTCACAGGATAAAAAACCAAGGCATGAGTAACTACTTTTAATCCTTCCTCTATATGTTCCTTTTTTTAAAACTGTCTTATTTTTCTTGTCAGAAAACACCAAACAGGAGATTTCTTTCAAGAAAAGACAGTGGTGTATTTTTAACCACACCACACAGCATTATCAACACAAATAATGAATGCCAGAGATAGAGCAGCTTGGTGTCTGTAGTAGTACCTCATGCCCCACAGTATCAAATTAATGCCTCCATGTTGTTTATTTTTCTGCATCTGGTGTCATTAATGTGGATACTCTCTTTCTGAGAGATGAAAGTCGGTGATCAAAACCAAGCTTCTTCATGTGAAGTCATCAACTGAGAAAATATTGCAGTGAGCATGTCCTAATGATTTCCACAGCTGTGTAACGTATCTGCCATAGTCATCCCCAGGACCCCCCTTTGAGGGCTAAAAGCCTCTCCTCACTGCAGGAACTGTTTTGTAGCCACACTGCAGTGTGCGCAACTTCAAAATGTCATGAAAGTAACACCAGCCTGCATTTATTATTTTTTTCTTACTTACTCAGCAGAGTACACCACATCACCCATTCTGGTGGCTCTCATCAAGAGGGAAAATGGCTACTCTCTTGTGTGATGTTGATTAATTAACCTGTTGGCTATGTTGCACACTGGATGCATATGCATGAGCACAAGCACTTTGAGCAGAAAACACAGACCCACAGGGCAGTGTTCAATATTTAGTATGGCTTGGCATGCACATAGTGTTTATCTTCGTTTTTTGCATGTCTGACATTGTCCCTTCACCCTTATATCTCCTTTACTGTCAAGGATGTCTTTTGAGTGCGATACTGGAAATAACAGGAAAGACTATAGGATGAAAAAACCCCTGCAATCTTGTTCCACATTGTAACGAAAGCAATTTCTTAAGAGTGCAGAGCTCCTTTCAGAAAATGCACAGCAATCCACAGAAAACCCTCAATTGTCCCTGTTCTTGCTTATCAGCTTTAAATCTGTCTTTTCACTACACTTGTAGAATGACGGGAATCAATAGGAGGTGTAGAAGAATCATATTGATTCAAGCTGAGTGTCCAGTCCACCTCCTCATAATGGATTACACAAATGAGACAAAATTACAAATGTTTAATGTTGAGCAGAGGAGAGCAATTCACTTAATGCTGCCGGCAGAAATCTGGTCTTTTCTGGAAGGAGAAGGAGAATAATGGGATTTGTGGGATTTTTCTTTTCCTCTTATTTGATGGGATTACTCTGAAAAGCTGGTTTGATCAAGATGGAAGATGATTTTTTAGAGTCAATGTAAAGGTATATGAGGCTGCACACAACTATATGTTGTGTTATATGTTATATGAGGGTGCTTTTCCTGTGATTACTAGTGTTTGTTGAGTGTTTTTTTCACGTTTCATATAAAGTGCAACTATGTGAAAACATATCCTTTCCATATATAGAAGATTAAGTGACATCACCATGGCAAAAAACAACCCCACAAATAAAATAAAAAGTGGGATTGTGTGTCACATAAGAGAAAAAGGGCAAACTCAGACAAAAGTGAAGTAACTGAGTGAGTTAGGTCATTGAAGTGAAATTTACAATAGACAATATTTGTTCTAAAAACTAAAAGGTTTTGTGGGCTGAAATGTTTGTACCCTAGTATTCATGATACCTCTGAACAGGCTTGGGTATTAATAATGGTCTTGTGGCTTTAGACATTTCATTTACCCTGTTCGTCCTTTTTTTCTGTGGCATGTGTCTTTTCAATTTACCTCATGTTATCTTGAGCACAAGCTCTCATGAAATTAAGTGGTGTCCTATTACAAGAGCCTGGATTGCCTTTATGGTTCGCCTGAGGTAGTGACTCAGTTTTTTGTGACCATACCGAATGTTTGACACAGTTGACATATCGACTTTTCACCTGAGAGGGATAGAATGGTTTATTCGAGGTTCTGTGGCTAGAACAATAGGAGACTCTGATCTTGTTTATTGTTTTTTTTTGCAATTTGTATTTTATCATGCCTCCGCTTTGATAATTTCTATTATTTATGAACTCATTCTAGCCGATGGAGGGGGTATCCCCTCTGCCCTTTATCAGTCTCTTGCAGAGAGCAGCAAAATAAGTTTTAAAATGCTTTTACAGCAGGTATAACCCATCAGACTGTAAAGAGTTATCAGACGACACAGAAATAAAGCTTGCTAAGTTGTCACTTGGGGGCGGAATAACTTGGAGAAACTTGGAAGTACAAAGATTGCGATATGTCAGGATTACACATTCTTCGAGGCTAGGTTGCTTGATTGTAGGGAACAAGATGAAAGATAGTTGGATTTGTGCAGAGGAAATGTAATTGCTGTAAAGCGAGAAGCATTGATGGACGCCGTGTGAAAGAAAATGGTGTAAGCTTGGAGGGTAGAGAAGAAGATGGTGCAGGTGATAGAGATTCAGATTTCAGAAGTGCAAGGCTCTTGAGAGATGCAGTCAGGATAATTAATGACGGGGTGCAATAGCACCTGCTGTCCCTGATGCTATGCAGTATTTACGGCCCAGCATGCCGAGTGGAACGGGATGCAACTGCGTGGCCAGCCCCCTGGCTCATCCTCCTGGGGTATGAAAAGATAGGGCGGGGGACTGGGTCAAGGAAGGAGGCAGGAGGGGGTTGTGTGGGGAACATCGACTCAGCAATCTAGGTGAAATTTATGTGCTGAAATGGCTCTGTTAATCCTAGACCTCTGCCTCCTATTGGGAAAGCTGGGAAGGGATGGAGGACAGAAGGAGATGCTTCCTGCAAGCTTGGGCCTTCCTTCTCTTACTGTGATACAGCAGATTGCGTCGCGCCCAAGCTGCATCCCCGCTAAGGCTCCTTTGGGAGCGTATTGTCAAAATCAAACAGGAGGGACCATGGTGACTTTGCTGTCTTGTGCTCATTAATCTTCATATCTGTATCATGCGCTGCGAAGGTTGAGATGGATTTTTGGATTGCAGATGGTTAATACAAACATTGATTTATGTGGAGAATAGTCTGTTTTTAATGTTCCCCTCCAAGCCTCAGAACTCTTATTTTTGATTTGCTACACCTATTCTTTTCCCCTGAGTGGCTTCTTTTTGAGCAAATGGACCCTTGTTCAAGTTTATTGAGGTCATTCTTCCATGGGTGTGGTCAGCTTCTCCTGGGACTCAGAGGGTGCCTGCCTGTGAGTGGCTCCACAGCAAATGAAGCAGACCTGACTTGATGGACCATATCAATTGGAACACATTTCCTTGTTCTGTGAGGTGGAACAGTCCTCTCCTGGACATGTGCTCCATTCTTTTCATTCTTTGCATTGGTTAAGCTTCTGTGTTATGAACTCAGCCTTGCATACAACAAAGAGCGCTTTGCTTTGGGCACAAGATGGATAAAACACTTTGAAAAAGACTGTCAGTGGCACTAGAGCCACATCCCTTAAGCATATGGCCTGAAAAACATGCATACTTTTCCTGTTTCACAACATTTATCAGAGAGCAGCTGCCAAAACCACAGTTTCTACATTCCTTTGTAACTCCATGCTGGACTGTTTCCAGTAGGCCAGACGTTGGATCAGCTCAGGCCCTGCAGCTGTCTCCATCCACTGCAGCCTGTCTGTTGTGACAGACATTAGTTTTCTAATGTGTTCTAAAGAAAGGTCTGTGCTCCAGTCAGGATAGAGACATGTGAAAAGCACCACTGATACCCACTACCTCATGCCGATGCCTCTAAATCCAACTAATTCCATCTTGTTTTTTGTCAGAGATCTGATTCATGAGCCGCTCTTTGAAGGCTTAATTTTTCAAGTGTGTCCATTATTATCATCTTGTTTTCAATTAACCCTCACATCATCTTGACCACTCCCCACTTTTATGATTTTTGTAAAGAGTAAGAGGCAGCAAACAAGTTCAGTCGGAGCATATCTCACTTAATAAGTCTGATGAAAAGGAATATTTCAAGAAACAGACTCATACTAGAACAGACAGCGTCAAGCTTCCTTGCGGGACCCAGAAACAACCATACTCACAGAGGACTGTTTTACTCCCCCTCACTGTCACTCTGGCCCAGCTGGCCTTGCCAGACTTTTTTCTTTTGCTACTCTGGACATGGTGTGGGTAGCAAAGACAGGTTCCACACCTAGTTGTGAAATCCAGCAGAAGGGAATAAGAAATCGTGGCCCACTGAACCGTATCTATTTCCCTTGTAG